ACAAGAAAGAAATAATAGAAGTGATGACTTTCCCTGAAGCAAATTTAAAAATAGCTTTTAAAAAAGGAATGAAACAGAGGTGTTTCTTCAACAGGTGCCAAATAAGAAACACCAGAATAACTTGTAGTATTTGTATCTTCCCTGATTCTTCAAGTGGGGGTACACTGGTGCAGACCATGGAGGTAACAGTCTAGGCTTCTTTAGGCCTGCGTACACCTCCAGGCACTTCAGTGCTTAAGAAGACTCCAACTCATTCAACGTTGTGGAGTAAAGGTCCCTCCTTTATCCCACCTAACGTTATGCCCCTGAGGGATGTAGGGGCCTCCGTGACTCTGCACGTCGCCCTCCTTCAGCGCAGAGGGATGGGAGCACACGTGGGCAGTTCTTCCTCTCCCAGGGAGCCATTCTGTTGACATGAGACTCAGTGAAAGACTGAGGCCTTTGGCTCTTTAAATCAAATTCATGTTATGTTGCAGTACAGAATCATAATGAAGCAAACCACGGGAAATTTAACTACTCCAAGGCCTCAACTGCCAGTCATCCTTCCTTGCTCGTGCCAACTCGAAGTACCGAAGTTGTCAAAATAAATTATGATTAAAAGGGAAGATGTCATAAAAGATTATTCAGCTTTGCAGAATATTTCATAATACTATATATCATAAAAGTTAGTCTTTGAAACTCTAGACATCTGCTTTCATTATTATTATTACAGAGTGTTAGATGGGACAGGCAGTTCAATTTGGTACTCGGACATCGTTTTGGAAAAACAACGGTAAAAGGAGGTGACTCTAGCACTAGGAAAGTTTTGTGCAGTTCTCTTCAAAATAAGTAACTTGTAGCCAAGTGAAAATTATAAGACTGTGCTAGATTTGGGCTAAAGTTTCTGCTGTTGGTCCCAGTGGGAGCATGAAAAGTGCACGAGAGCACTGACTGAGATTTTTCCCTAAGATTTTCTTTTTTGCTTAAACTAGATATTTTAGTTTCTGAAGTGCTGTTGTTTTATGCTATGTAGTCCATTGAACTTAAAAAGAAGTTTAGTTTTTAGAGTTTTTTCAATTCCATTGCATGACACATCAGCAGTATATTTATGGAATTATTTTGAAGAGACATCTGGATGGTTTTGTGTCTATTTATGAAGGATAAAACAGTGAAAATGATATTTCTTCCTACACATTTCCATCAGAAGTTCAGCTTATCTGTACGTAGTAGGACTTAATGACTGAAGAACTAGTAGGGTTTTGTCATTGAGAAATGCAGATGATAAAAAGAAACATCTTACATTAGAAATCCATTTTTCTAGCTATGGTGTCTCATTTAATTGCTTTCATTGCATAGGGTATTTTCAGAAGAATTTTATAGGCTTTCATAATACATGAAAACTGCAGGATTTTCTTTAAAAGTTTGAAAATCTTTTGTGGGTCCTTCAATAGATGAGTTCTCATGAAAGGTATGGCAAAAGCTTTTATTGTTGGTCAGAAACAGGTCAGTGAAAAATTTTACTTGCAGGTATCAAGAAACCCCTCAGTAGACATCTGAGATCTCCCAGAAGCCCCGTAGCTGAACAAGGGAAAGCTGGAACAAAAAAAATGAATTCCGTGTTAAAAGAGAGACAGAAAAAATGGTCTGGATTTCTAAGCACTTTTTCTTGTGAATTCTAAAGAAATATACTAAGCCAGCAAAATGTTTTTATCTTTATAAACTTCTATAAATAGCTAAAAGTATGATTTGATAGAGAGAACAAGTTACTTTTTATAGAGTCTAAGTTGAAATATGTATATAAAATATACATGTATATGTATATAAAATTAAAAACAACATTTTTCATACATAGCAGCTTGCCTAAAGCTAGAGGTGAAGAGGGATTTATCCCACTGAAGGTGAATGCTTGTCATAAATGCCTAAAAGTGACCTCAGTCAACAGGGCCAGTCTTAAACATAATTTTTAAAACCCCTGGATGTGAAGTTTTTAATTTTCAAGTTCAGCGGCAAAGAGTATTTCATGTGTGCACAAAACCAAAACAAACCAAAAAAGTCAGTAAAAACTTCTATATGCAAAAAAAAAATCCACCAAAAATAAGGGTTTAAATAGCAGTGTTCTGTAGATGTGTATTAGTTTGCAGTCTTGAACTGGGAAGGAGTTACTCTGCTCCTGGTGCGGTGAGCAGTGATGTAATCTCCAGCAGTTTGCATATGGCTCTGAGGCTCACAGCCTGCTAGTTTCAGGCAACTTTAGTCTTTATCTGGAGTCCACCAATCTATGAATCTGTTGTGTGGCAAAAGGGAATAACAGGGAGCTGGGACCATTCCCAGCAGCTCTACTGAATCTTCAAAGGCAGAAAGCTTTGCTAACAGTGCTTGGTGCATCCACTCAGTGATCTATGAAAAAAAATTAGGCAGGTTTTTCTTTTTTCTTTTTAGCTTGGCTATTTGCTGAAGTAGCTGTTTCAGCCTACTCAATTTATTTCCTTTAGCAGGGGACGGCAGCCAGTTGATTCTTTCCACCCGAAAGTTCAAGAAATGTAATAATGTGCATTGTTTCATTGTTCTTGCTCGGCCCCACACATTCTTGGAAGGCCATACAAGGGAGAAATAATTCAACAGTGCAAAGAACATAAAGACCACTCTTTCTCTTCTTTTTTTTCTTTCATTTCTTTTATGCAAGAAAACTGTTTTGAAGGCAAAGACGTCTTTATGTGAAAACCCATTGCTGATGCAGCACTGAGGAGAGCAGTGGCAATTTCCTGCCTCCGAGGCAGGGCGCAGCATTAACTCCTGGTGCTCTAGTCTCACTTGTTTGAATTTCTTTTATTTCTTGAAGTCCAAAAAAAAATAATAAATAAAATTAGACTTTGCAAGCAAGTTTGGGCTAAAAAAAAAAACAACCAACATGTAAAATAGAACCTAGAGGCTAGGAAATGTGTCTCTAAACCAGGTAGTGCTTGTGGTTGTAAGGGGCCAAGCACCTTGGCTGTTCTGTATGTTGTGAGAAATTCATGACAGTAACATACATCTCCTTGCAGAAAAGTCTTGGGGCTTCATTTGTTCACATTTTTCAAGGCTTTGGGAAATATTCAACTATTTGAAGTGTTATGGCCTATTTTTCTTGAGCTGCTGAAACTATCCTGAAATATTATAGGTGAATACAAGGGACATAATAAGATAGAAATGCATTAATATTTTACAGTGTGTTTATTAGTAGCACTAGAAGGTAGAAGTTATAGTAAGACAGTACATGTTCCATAATTAGGCTTTTTCAGAGACAAATATGTACTTTATTAACTCTTTGCACTTTGAGCGTGCGTAACGTTGCACAGTCATTAACTGTTTGTTCACATTAAGGGTCCAGCTGGAACTGAAAGCTAGAATACTTGAAGCCAATTACTTCAGGGCTTCACAGGAGTTAGATGTTTTTTCTTCAGGTGTAGCTGATCAGTATTAGACTCCCCAAATCGTTAGAGTGGCAATATACATGCTTATTACCACCTCTTTAATGCAGTTTCCCAGGGTAAAGGTGTGTGGTGATTTGGTTTTTGTTTTTTCCTTTTTCCCCCATGGCAGTTTAGAGAAGCATTGCATGCCAAATAGGCCTTTTGTAAAACACGAAGCACTCCTGCAGGAAAAAACACAAATTTTGCAGATATCTTTATTTTTAGTAATGACAGAAAAATCTGGAAAATGTAGTCAAGGTTCATTGTGGGCAGAAAAAAAATACTCTAAACCCCCTCTTTTTAATTGCATTGTTGTGCTACCTTACTGTTAGGTTTTTTCCTCTGTTGTTTCTCTTTTGAGTAGGCTGAAACACTTGTACGGTAGATTTCTGCATGTTCAAGTTGCAAAAGTAGAGTTTAACAACTTGAAACAATCCATAGAAAAGATAATCCACACTTGGTGATGATTTCATAGTCCTCCAAAGCACTGAGGAAAATCACGAGGATTTGGCATTTTAGTGAGAACCTAGGAAGCAACTTCCCTCTCCCCATCTATGTTTAAACTGCTGTCCACAGAGCACTCTAAATTTTATTTAAGGAAGATCTTGGGTGGCTTCTGCTTTCAGAATTCCTCAAAAACTTGACAGCAAGAAGCAGAAGCAGCAGAGTCTATCTTTAGAAGCTGCTTTTATGTTAAAGCTTTAATTAAACAGTTGACAGTAGAGATTAGCGACGTGTGCCGTGGTGATAATCTCTGGGATTCTCCTACTTCACCTCCAATGCAGTAGCATCAGATTTCATCTTCCTTTAGAAAGCAGCTTATGATTTTTGCTATTTGTAACTTCAATATCATGTGTAGTTTGAGAGAGAGATAGTATCAAACTTTATTTATTAAGGATCATTTAAAACTGTATTTCCAGGTAGGTGATAGAACCTGGTTCTACTCTGTCCATTAGAGACCACATCTACCAACATCGAAAAATACAACCTTTGTTAAAATTCAGTGCTGTTCAAGTGATAGTGTAGGGATTTTAGGCGCAACATATTTTCTTCAATAATCTTGGACAACTTGACCAGCAATACCATTTCCTTTTGCATGGAAAATATTATGGTCAGAAGAATTTTCTAAAAGCTCTTGGGAGTGATCCAAGTAAACTCTTCTGAAGCAAGGTAAGATGCCCGCGTCTAATGAAGGACAGAGATGTGTGCGCACACAAGCGCACTGTGCTTAGAACGGCAAAGGAACACAGGTTTACGGATCTATCTCACCAAAAGCATTTAGGAAGCATTTTTGAGGGAGTCGGACTTGATGATCCTGTGGGTTCCTTCCAACTTGAAATATTCTCTGATTCTAAGTTCTGTAGTAAAGGAACATGCTGCATCCTATGTGGTCTCACTCATCAGCAAAGTGATGAAACATTTCCACTTCAAGATATAAGGAAAGAGATAGATAAAAATTATTGCTCTACTTCTTTAATGAAGAAGGTGGGGGCAAAAGGATGAGTTCTTGCATTCTTGGGAGGTACCTTAAAATAGCCCTTTGAACATACCACAAACAATACTCAAATATTTGCATAAAGACATTTTATTATGAATGCAATGTATATAGAGATTTTTTTTCTTTTTTAATCTGAGATGCTTATATAAACAGACCCATATTGGCTGAATGACTATCAGTTTGCAGGGCATGACAGTGGTTGAACACCCTTCAGCTCCAGAGCTTTGCTGAAGTTAATCTCCTGAGGTTTAGCAGTACCCTTGGTGAGCTTCAGAAATCGAATACATCCTTTAAAACGAATATTAGTGGTCAGCCCAAACTGGGTCACACCATCTGAGGGAGGAAAAGAACAGAAAAAAAGAATTTTGTTAGTTTGAGTTGATACTTAAGTTTGTTCTCTGAGAGTCCTGCAGGAGAACAGATGTCCCCAGCAATATATTAATATATTTTATTTGCTGTATATATCTTCTTTATTTAAAGAATGACAAACATTATGAGTGAATGGGATAAATGCTTAAGTTCGTTCTAACAGTCCAGTCATCTTTACTTCTTCTGTCCTAGCATGACAGCGACAGAATCCGAACACATTTAAACTACCATTGTAAACCATGTAACTCAGTTACATGACACAGAGGAAGTTAAGGAAAATGGCCAAATGCAGCTTTGCTACCTACACATGGTTTATGATGCATTCGCAATAGTCCTGCAGGTCTCCAACTTCTTGAGCTGTTTATCCACAGAACAACAGAGAGGAAAAAAAAAAAAGGCTAAAATGGATGCAATTCTCAGTCCTAACATAATGAAAAAGCCAGTTTCTCAGTATAGGCTTTAGATGTCATTTAAGGAACAGTTTTGAGAGTTTTCAAGCATTCTGATTTTTTTCTTGCTGATAGTAAAGCCAGGGATTTGCGTACATCTCTTCCACTGAAGAAGGAGGGAACAGAACTGAGGGTTGGTTTGACCAGGAAGCTGAAATTATTTTTCCTAATTGCTTGAAATTCATGGCCCAACTTGTTTCCCAGTGTTCTTCCAAGTGAAAAAGTGGCTACAGGGATGCACTCCAATACAAATCTATGTCACTGATAAAGGGTTCCAGAAATAACTTTACACAGGTAGAGGACTGATTGGCCATAGCTTTATGCAGTTTCACAGAGGATGAGAAGACTGAATCCATCTGTCCCTCCTTGCAGAGAGTAGAGTGACAGTAGGAGATGAGTAATGGCTTTTATGTGTACCCAGGAATTTATGTCCTTGCCTATGCTCTGGTGGTGAAAAGTTTCTCTGCACAGGAAATTCTCCACCAGCTAATTCTAACTGGATAAAACTGTTCTGCACCATGTTTAGGCAGTCAGGAGAAGCCTCAAGAGGACTGGAAAATACAAACGCTTACTAATTTTGCAAAATCCCATGATACTGTGTTTTAAATCTGTGATGAGGCTGTCTAGGTATTGGGAATGTTAAAACAAATCTCGGATGAGCTAGACAACTCAGCAACAGAAGTGTGAGGTGTTTAAATATGCATGTAGATTTATTAAATACTTTCATAACTTGCCATGTGGCTGAACTCAGAAACATCACTTCGACTCGATGTAAGTGTAGGCTTGTTTTGTACAGATTACAGTGTTACTTCCATTTGTTTCTCTTGCTATCTTCCTCTTGACGTACAGTCCAGAATGAGATAGTAGCTCCATCTGTGGTGTTTCTTTCGTGCTCACTCCTATACTAGAATCTTGTTTTGTTATAAAAAGGCTGCCACAAAGCTGTTTTCCTTCTGGCACAAAGTTGTTGGTCCTTATCAATAGTCTGTGACTGAAGTACAAATCTCATATCTCAGTATCAAGAACACTTTTTGAAAATGTTCCAAAGTTTGAAAGAGAAGGCTTTTTGGATGCACCGTATTGGGCATTAGAATGGGGGGAAGAACAACTTCGGAAAAATCATTTAGGAATTAACTCACGAGGTGTCTTGCCATTGACTTCAGTATGCACTAGAGCAGACACATACTGCAAACATACATAGCTTTTTTGTTTGCAAACTAGAGGGAAACTATTATAAATGCAACAAAGTTGGCACTTTGCAAATGTGTTAACTCTGTTTTAAGGAAGCAACTTGCTATTCAATAAACTTACTGACTGCCAATGAACAGATCAATACTAGCATTCATTATGAGCTTAGTGAAAGACAAAGCTAGCTACAGAGCTCAGCCCCATTCGAGATGATGTTCAATTACCTCTACATGAAGCAAGTTCTCTTGAGGGTTTCTGGAATACTGAGTTTTAAATTTTGATTATCTTTTTTTTTTCTTTAAAAGCCACAAGACTGTGCAGAAAGACACCAGTCAGAAAGAGATGGCTTCCTCTCACCTCTTTGCAAGCTGTTGTCCACATTCCTCAGTTGCTCCAGTTTTACAGGCTGGTTTACACACACAGTGCCCTGCCCCACCCCAAGGGCATATATGCATTCAAGTAAAGAATTTAAATAATTTAAGTAATTTAAATATAAGTAAAATATTTAAATATGCCATTCTTATGTTAAAGTTAAATTTGCCAAATGCTGTTACTTTTGTAACATTATTATGCTGTTACTATACAGAAAGCACGAGGTTGTGCGTGTGGGCAGCAGAAGGCAGAACGCTTCCCTGCTCCTCTGTGACAGTGCCTACATTTGAAAGCGGGCAGAGGTATCTGAGGGAGTCCCTTGGTGCTGCAGAATTTCTCATTCTGAAATGCAGCTGGATTCAGAAACGAGCATCCATGCCAAACAACAGAAACTCAGTCAGTCTGGCCCATCAACTAGCATACTTGTCCTAATGGTATTTAAGAAATTACCAAGGCGATATTGCTAGATCAAAAGTAAAGCATCATTTGCGTGTTAAATGCTCACCAGGATATCCTCCAACAAAGACAGGGTCGTTAGTGTCTGCTGAGGTCGAGGCCCTGTTTGGGCTGTTGCCATCCACCTGCCTGCCATCCACAGTCAGCTCTAATCGGTGTTTCCTCTTGTTTGCAAGAACCTTGTGCCACCGTCCGTCACACAAGCTGCCTGGTGCATCGGGTTCGTAGACAGCAGAGAATCGGCCAGCACCATTGTCAACGTGAAACATCACCTGAAGTGCAAGACAGGGGTGTTGGCTAATTCCCAAAACAGTACTATGGTTCTTTTTTTGTTTGTTTGGTTGTTCTTTTGAAGTCAACATGCTCTGACTGTACACACTAAAGCTCTAATTTAATACCAGATTCTATGTGGATTGCTGTCCCTTTTGGATCTGGGTTATAAACACGAGTGGAATTATGCAAAATTGTTGCATAGGTTGTAATTTTTCCATTTTTTAGTATTAGTTTTAGGGTGTTTTGTCTCCCTTGCCCCTCTTCTACGCCCAAGCTCTTTATAGTGATAGATTCCTGAGTTTTTTTCCAGACTGTGGAAAAAAAGATATACACAAGAAACTAATATTATTAATGACAAAACCTTTCCTCAAAACTTCTCACATTCTCACTAATTTAAGTCCTCATGTGGCAGTTTTAGGAAACTCAAATGTTACAGAATCTTTTAAGATAACTTTGTAAAAGTGTAAGAGCCTCTTGATGTATGGGAAATGGCAAGTGCTGCACAAAGGAGACCCCTAATATTCATCGAGACACCTTTAGATTTGAGTAATAAAGTTGCATTTGAACTACCTGTGCTTTCTGAAACAAGTCTCTATAAAAAGCTGTGGTGGTTTGGCCCTGACTGGAGGCCAGGAGCTCACCAAAGCTGCTCTATCACTCCCCCTTTTTAGATGGACAGGGGAGAGGGGAGATGTAACAAGAGGCCTGTGGGTTAAGATAAAAGCAGTTTAATATGGCAAAAGCAAAGGCTGCGCACGGAAGCAAAGCCAAACAAAGATTATTCTCTACTTCCCATCCTCAGGCGATATCCAGCTGCTTTCCCAGGAAGCAGGGCTCCAGTACGCATAGCAGTTGCTCCGGAGGACAAACACAAATATCGAATGCCCCCGCACTTCCCTCTTCCTTCTCGCTTTTATATCTGAGCTGACGTCATATGGTATGGAATATCTCCTTTGGTCAGTTTGGGCCAGCTGGCCCAGCTGTGTCCCCCCCCAGCCTACTGTTGGGGGAACCTTGGAAAAAACCACAAAACCACAGCCTTGGTGCTGTGTGAGCACTGCTCAGCAGTAGCCAAAACACTGGGGTGCTACCAACACCCTTCTAGCTACCACTCCAAAACCACAGCACCGAGAGAGCTGCTGTGGGAAGATTAACTCATCTCAGCCTGATACAATACAAGAGCCAAAAATGCCTTGCTACTCACTTTTCCATCTACTAATTCGATGCCAAGCCCATCCATTTTCTGGCTGCTGACTCCTAGGAGAACACCGTTCATTCGTGTTGTACGGAATTCAAATTCCACAAGCAGGTCTGTTCCCACTTTGTATGCACCAACTTGGAAAGAAAAGGGGAAGGATAATAAAATGAAATGAAGAAGAGCGTTTAACATATTATTCCTAATAATCACACCAAGTGTGTTACCAGTAATGCAAGGTAATGAACTCTGCATTATTAATGTGTTCCATTTCACGTGAAATCACTTAAGTAACTGTTACAATGGCTGTGCTTGGGGTGAGATGTAGCTAGAAAGCCATATAATCTATCCCTAGGCAAAAAAACTAAAACTGATCAGTGAGAGTTTCAGATACTGGTCTCACTTTGCCTCCAGTCAACAAGAGTTGGAAATTTTTGAAAGCAGCATCTCCTCTTTCTGTGTTCTTTGCCTATCAGCAGAAATGCTGTTTGTTACCTGTTTTGGCAAAGCCTGTTCCATCGAAGTATGTTCCTTTCTGTGGAGTGACAAAACATTTTCCAACGTTGAAGCTGGAAGTTGGATTATCTAAGTCAACAGGTGATTCTGTCATTTGAAAACTTCTGATGCAGCCATCGATGCTGTAGGTGACCTGTAGGCAATATTTCAAACAGAACGTGTAACTATGCAAAGTAAGCTGAAATGCTCTGAATAAAAGCCTGAAGTATGTCATCAAAAAGTACCTTTCCTCTGCTACTCTGCTGGATTTATGGAGCTGAATAAAACTTTAATTTTACATGGCTAATCCTTAATATCTGATTGTAATTGGAATCTAATCTCAGTCCTACTGAGGATGAATTACATTACTTTTCCAGGATGTGGTCTGAGTCACATCTATTTGGCTTAATGGACGGGACATAAAATAATATACTGCATAATGAAACATAGCAAATTACATCAGCAATACAGGAATTTAATGGCCTACACTTTACCTTTTTAATTGACTAGGTTATGAGGTTTGTGAGTAGATGAAGATACGGGATATAGTTCTCTGGGCTGCCGGTAATTTTACTAGGGCTTTTTTTTTTCCCCTCCTTAATCACTTTATGATGGGCCTACTGTTGCATGGTAAGACAGAGCTAATGCAGGTATATGGTTACTAAAATGAAAAAGCTCCTGCGTAAGCGTTGTCAACTGTACATAGTTCTTCACATAATAACAGCGTGTAGGTCTGGAGACCACAGTGACAAGGGGCCCCTCAGCTGGAGGTGGGAGATATGCTTGTGGGATTTGGAGGCTCCAGTGTAGGGTAGCAAATTGCAGCTTCCAGTTTGGCTTCTGCACTGGGAGCATATTGCTGTGTCTCCAAGTGGGTGGTACGTTCACACTTAACGCTGGTGGTGTCAGTAAGTGAGATCCTGCTTGGGGCAGGAGCAAGGGGCTGCCCTGGGTGCGACCAGTGCATCCCGGTGGGACCTCTGAGAGCCACTGGCATCTCCTCCAGAGCTGTCTCCACCTTTCCTCTCTGAGGTGTGCAGAAGCTGCATTTTGTTTCTCAGCTGCAGACAAAGGCTTTGATCTGTGACTTAAAAGTCTGGAAAAAGTCATCCCTGATATCAGTGGGAGAGAGGAAAATTATAAACGTGTATTTTGAGGGTTGGACTAGATGACCTTTAAAGGTGCCTTCCGACCCATGACTCTATGATTCTATTTTGAGGAAGAAAAGGAAGACATATTCATAAATGATGCAGTAGGAAGGAGGAAGATAAAAAAATACAGTGTAGAAATATGTACAAATGCAGAAAGGAGAAAGGCACACTTGCAGAGAGAAGTCTTGACGCTGCACATTACCTCCTCTAACAATATCCTGACTAATAATTTGAAAGAATTTCCAAAGAACCTTTTTCCTTGTAAGTCAAAGGTGAAGGTACTGTGGAATTATATAACATGGTGCCAATAAATACACCTGTACAAAATTTTCATGCGAACCTGAGCAATATCAGTGAATAAATTCAATTCTGAGCTGACCAATGCTTTCCATCAGATTCTTCATAAATGGACCTTTTTCTAATTTCTAAGTGAAAGTCACCTCCAGATCAACAAATTCTGTTCTCAAAACAGAAAAATGCCACAAAAAAAAATGTTGTCATCTTCACTGTGAGAATAAATCATGGAAATGCAAGACTTGTAGACAACTCAACAATCATTTCTGAAATTTCACTATCCCTAAGGAAAAAGCAAGTCTGGTTATACCTTAGCATGGCAACAGGCAACATAATCTCTTTTGCGGAAAGAGGAGTTTTGACTGCTAAAAATGTGACATCTGCTGAAGCCAAATGAATAGGTATCAGTCTTCTGCACTGAATAGGAAACCAACCCACCTAAGCGTTAGATTAGTCTAAAAAAAGGCTGATGTGTGTTTAGAAGAAAGCCCTAACTAAGATAGTACATCTTTTCAACTTGCTATGCTTCAGAGCCTTTACATGAAGCCTATAATACAACGCTCTATTAATACATCATGCGGTATATTTTACTGAGAATGACTGAAAAGCACAGTTTTTTACCTTGTGTGAATGACATTTGAAGTCACAGCTCCATTTAAATTCCAAAGCACATAAGACTGTCATGATCTGACATGACTGTTATTGCTAGACTGTGCCATTTATCTGCATGGGTTCCCTCCATTACTTCTGACAAGGAGCAATAGCTAAGGATTTAGTGTTACCTTTCTCCTTAGATTAGTGTTTGTAAATTGCAGATGTATTTCAAAGAGGACAATTTGATAGTACTAGGAATGATATGTTGTGGGTAGTTCACTATCACTTTTGCTTTTCAGTGCCTCAGATCTGGTTTAGTAAACACACGATCAGCGGATTTCCTCAATTCGGGCTTCCTGCACAATCCAGAGTTTGCTGAGAAACATGATCTTACAGTTTCATTTTCTTTATGGAATACGACTCTCAGAGTAGTTACTTTTCATTCCCCATGCACGAGTTATTATAGGGCCTTATTTAAGCAGGATCTTGGAATTTCTTTTCTCTTTTTATTTTGTCCACCCAAACTGGTGGACTCTTGCCTGTCTGGAGAATAGCATTTACCATTCCATACCATCTGACTACACTTGCTTGCATTTAGTTTCTTTGAAAGCCTGGTTTGCTCTCTCACCATGATTAATACTTTTGCTTCCTCCTTACTGACTGTGTGTAACCATCCAGAATGAGCCTCAACAGAGCTGCTACTGTCATTCCAGTATTTTGTCAACAGTGCTGCACTACATGCCTAACTTGTTGCTTGCTGTAATTAAATTCATTCAAGTTCAGGCTTCTGCTTTGAAAAATCCTTCTGCACAGAGAGAAAAGTAATGCAGGGAAGAGGTTTTTCTTTGATTCTGATACTGGCATACATTGGTGGGTAGGAGGGCAGCAGAAAAGTGAGGTGACCAACATGGGGTTGGGCAGATAGATGCAGTAAATGGCCTGGATGAGGGAATACAGTGTTTCGAGTTAATTCTACACAGTTTAGGCCAAGATTATATTCACGTCTCTGGGCTCTCTGTTTGCCAAGGTATCCTTTGTGTCAGCATGGGAGCATTTAGACTGAAAGAGTCATAAATGGATATATGTACATTTGCTTTGGAAATTGAAAGAGGACAACAGAGCTTTCATGGACTTACTTCAAAATACAGTCTCTCCTAGTTTAGTAATAACAGCACAAACCCAATTACTACAGTAAGCAGCAATACTTACTACTAGGCACTTTTGTCCAGGGTAATTCTGGCTTCTGCTACTTCTCACAGGAGATGCTTTCACTGTTTATTAGCATTTATTGCTAGATGAATTACAGCCAAGAGAAAGGGAAAGTAGTATTCACGAATTTATACTCTAGCTGCACAGTCACACAAGTGGATGCAAGTGTATGGATGTTTCTACTTTTCCATAACAGTAACTAATTCTGCTGTGTCTAGTTCTTTACATTAACTGGATTCTGAGTCAAATCTCTCCACTGAAAAATGTAGTGTACCTCCAGCGAGGTCCATTTTATCCATATTCTTGAGCATTCTGAGGGAAAACAAGATAATCCAAAACTCGGAAGACATTGGTACCAAACAAGATATACTTAAGGAGTGTAAGATAACTTAAACAAACTTGCTTACCGGACCAATTCTTCTAGTTGTGTAGTTAATGGGCAATCCTCCAACATACAGTATGCCTACAACATCCAGTATATCTGCCTTCTTGGGGCTAACAGTCTTGTTTGAAACATCATCTACTATAAGGGTTCCTTCTTGCTTTGTTCGAGTTACTTTTATCTAAAAGACACACAAATGCAATACAATTACATATAGTTAGTTTTCACCAAAGCATTTCCAGATTGTAACTAGCTTTTGCAGTCCAAAATATATAACAACACAGGAGAAAGTAGCAGGAGAAGTAGGTTAGCAGAAGTACCATGGCAGGAACTATGGATAATGTTCATGGAACAGAGCTCCTACGCAAGGTTTTGTGCAAACATATGTTTGTCTTTTAATTACATCTGGGTTGGGAGGCATTGTGACTATTATTTATTAGAATTACTGTAAGGACTATTATTTATTAGAATTACTGGAAGGACTCTGGGTTTCTTTAAAAAGCTTCATTGCTGCTATCATAGGCACGCCATAATATTGTTTTTCCTGGAATCAAGACGGCATTTTTAACTACTGGGAATAGTAAATGCTGAATGTTAATGGCACTGCCTGCGAATCTTTATTGCGGCACATGTTTGCAGACAATACTGAGTTTATGATTCCACTGGTTTGGACGTGCCTCAGATCATAGTTCATGCTAGAGTAAATATAATACCAACTATGGTCTGTTGGCATTATGGCTTCCCTTCAGACAAATGGGCTGTGAATTGCACAAAGCAAGTGCAATTGCTGAAGGGCTGAGGAAATCCTACCCCAACAACCATAGACCAATTTCTCTCCAAAGGTTTATAGTGAAGTATCTACAAATCAGCATAATAATGGCTCTGGATAAAAAAAAAAAGAGATAAATGTAAACTGCAACATGTATATTAACAGATTTCTAAACAGCACAGTAGTCAGCTCACCAGGGTAACAGAGAGAGACAAACAGCATTTTGCTTTTTCTGTAACATGGCTGTTTCTGTTTCAGAGTGGCAGCACATCAGTCATGCAATGAGAATGACTGAACACTGATCAGTCCAGGGCTGGCCTGAAAGTGAGGGACTGAACTTGGTATTTACAGACTGCCATAAATTTGAGATGAACAGTTACACCTTAGGCAGAAAGAGGATTTGGTGAGTGAGACAGGAATTGGGAACAAGAACTGTTACAGAGAACACAAAGAGATACCAGCAGCACAACGTGGCTTCTGTAGGCCTGATGGAAATGTTTTAGCCTAAACCATTTCAAATGCAGAAAACGTTGTCACTAAAAGTTTTATTTTAAGGAGAAGCCCCTGCTTTCTTAAAAACAAAGACTGTGGTCTTCTCTTAAAGAGGTTGCCTTTCCCTCCTCCTCCAAAATTTTACTTTCTTGGGCTTTTTATGAACCATAGCTTTGGATTTTGTCTCCATTGTCCTCCTGCAAAAATGGCATTTACAAAAAGGGTCCCTGTCTCACAGACTGCCAAGCTGCTTGCCCAAAGAGCACAGTTCTTCCATTAAGATATATATACTACAGTTAGTTGTCTTAGAATATAGAGAAAACAGCTAAAAGAGCAAAACACATATTTTCTTTATTTATAGAGGGTCTAGCAGAAAGGGGCTCTGGTCTCATGTCAGTGCTCCAAAGCATTGTATAAACTAGATAAATAATGACTACAACTTTATTTTTTCCTCTTATGAAATATCTTCATATAGAGCATCTGCTATTGTCAAAATGTTCATGAATAAAAATCCAGTGATAATAAAATTCCTGCAGAACAGGGTGAGAATGAAGCAGAGAGGGACTAAGAATGACTGCAAAGAGAGTTTCATAAGAACAATTCAAGCATAACAGAAAACACAATTAGATTTTTTTCTCATTCAGTGATAGAGATGTGGATGGTGACTTTCCAAATATCTATCTAAAATTTAATGTCTCTTATAGTATATAACTTCAATACATAGTTAAATGTATTCTTCTCGGTCTTTACTGGTGCCTTCAAGCATGTTACCTAATGAATACACTATGTGGCTGTTGCTCTTGGCCCAGTAAATACTAAATTTCATGGCTGTGATTATTATTCCTTCCGTTACCATCCAAATGCCATAGGAGTTGTACATAAGTGCTTCCTCTCATAAAGTCACAGAAGGGACTGCCAAATACATCCTTGAGTATCATATTCAGTCCCTAATGAATTGAATTAAGAATGCAGGCATGATTTAGTTAAATGTCACTTCTTTTTTCTTTCTTTGTTCTTAGCACTATGGCTGAACAACGAGACTATAACATAGAAACAACTGGCTTTAATGATGTATTCCATCATCATGAGCCGATGCTCACCTGAGCCTTTTTAGCCAGGAAAGAACATTTTCTGCAATTCCCTACCATACATGGGACATATTCTAAATATATCCAGAAACATGTGTTTCCTGAAGGACAAATTTCAAAGATCAGCACTAAATTTATTGTTAGTAAAATATGCACTGTGTACTTAGCAGTAACTCTGAAAGCACAAATTTTGCAGACTACCAAAAAACCTAGTTGTGAAGTTTAGCTTGTATAGAGTATATTTTGCAAATATCTTAAGGGAAAGAAAAGCTTGCTCTTAGCATTTCAAAGAATAATTTAGCATTAGAGACTATTGTACCTTGTGCCACTGGCCATCATTTATTTTGTTGGAAATCATCGTGTAGGTGTCTCCACTTCCCAGATCGTAGCTGAAGTAAGGCAGACCATTCTTTATCTGAACTGTAGCAAAATCAGCATGGTTGATGCGGGCCATATAAAACAGCAAGCCAGAATCAGCTGTTGTTCTAACTTCAAATTCAATTGTAAGTCTGGAAATCAAACAGCAAGAAAGGAAAAGGTATTCGGAGTCAGACACTGGACATATTATCTACTTTATCTTTTCTGAGTTCTAAAAAAACTTCAGTTAGTGACCCATTTTACTTGTCCATTAGAGTTTAAGAAAAATAATTTGGTTATACACAAATTGCATTTCACACATATCTGATCTCTGACATGTGAGCATTCATTAGTCCCTCTGCTGTGAAAATACAGAAGTGTAACCTTGGCATAGAATTTCAAGATATAATTCTCAGCTGCAGCTGTAGCTGCTAGAAAATCCCAGTGCTTGTAAAATTCCAGCGGCGTTATCCGTCATCCACACACAGAACGCTCACAAAGAGGAGCGAGCTGTAGTGACAGCTGGCAAATGTTGAGTTTCTAATGAGTTGTATTGCCTGAAGACAGGTTGCAAAACTTTTAAAGATGCAGAGAGGAGAGTATACGATCAGGATATAAAATATTCATTCTGATTTCTCCCAACAGAAAATGGAATGTCAGAGGCAGTCTGGTGACCCCTTGGACAGAACAATAATGTCAAAAGCCTCCCCTACAGCAGAGAACCTGGGAAGAAATTACTCAGATTATCTAGATGCTAAGGTGACACTGACAGTACATCACTAACCTAGCCAAGCTGAGCTGCAAAGTCGGTACCTGAAAACAATTGATAAAAATCATGGCATGAAAACTATCAGGCCAGGATTCTTATTTGAAAATAAAGACAGCAAGGACTGTAGGGTTACATTTTTCTTTAAATTATATTCCTAGTTTTCTAAAATTAGCATATGTGAAAATATGCAGTACAACATATACCTCTTTACAGGTAAAAATAAGTGTGAGGCTGATAGACTTGTAAACTATAAGGCAGCAAAAATGCTTAGTGGTGTGACATGGCACATTTGTTAATGAGCACATGCCTTCAGAGCAAAAATGAACAATTAAAAAGTTATAGCTTTGCCAGCCCATTGAAAACAGCTCTTGGATTTCCTTTGCATATCAACATGTATAAGTATATATTTTTATACTTTGGGAGACCAATGTCACTTTGCCTGTTTACTGTGCAAGCTTAATCTTAACTATCAGAAGAAATGGGGAAAAAAAAGTATGCTTGTTGCAAGAAGTGATCAAGTTACTAAACCAAGAAACTTTCTTCTGAAAAAATAACCTATGAACTCAGCTGCATGACCTGGTTCCATTATTCTGTTTTTCTGCCAATCGGTCTGGGAATTGTGTGTGCCAAACCTTTACAAAGATGTAAACTACTTTTTGTGTGAGCTACTTAGGTGGGCACTTTATTGCCTAGATTTCATGCTTTAATGCTTTTTATGTTTACTTAATGAAATGAAATAGCCATAGGACATGACCTTTTTCAGATTATGCCACCAACATTGGAAGATGCTTTTGAGAATATTAGGAGGGACATTTTATTTTGACATTATTCCATCAAAACTCATGGCTGAAATAAACACTATACCTGTTTTTCACTTTGGTGTCATCAAATGCAACTGCAATGTGGCTGTTTCTTGAAAGACCAAATTGCTTGCCACCTTCCAAAATGGCTGGTTCTGTGTCAGCAGCACAGGCATCCTGCAAAATATACATCGATCATATAAAATTCATATTTTGTGCCTATCTCAGCTGGGCACATGCTGGAAGTCTCCCAGCTGCTCAGGATTGAGAATATTCCACCTAGTCTAGACACTAGCCCTGCAATTTTCAAGTATATTGATGTCTCATCACACCAGCTACAGTTATAAAGCAGCATGCCAGGAACTTGGTGTAAAAGCAGAGCTCGTTAAGCTGGCTGTAAAGGCAAATAAAAGTAATATATGAACATTGCCACTTTCATGTCACCAGTGGACATTTACAAGAGTCTTAAGTGATTTCCAGGCAGCTCAGTGTACTCTCAGCTCACATAACTGCGTTTTACACAGTAGGACGCCCTCTTACAGAAATGAAGCAAGACTTAAGTTTTAAGTGCATGCTTTGCTCTTGACTTTAAAATCTAGTCACCTTAAAAATAATGAGTTAAAAGTAGTTTCAGATCCTGCACCTGTCAACGAGTCCTCCATTTTACCTCTTTATAGTGCTTTACAATCATATTCTTTGTTTAATGCGCTGTCGTTTCCCCCGTTGCTGTTGAAGGGCCCCCCCCAAACAATAAAGGAAGCCAAAATACTGATGGATGGAAGTAACAACGGTTAAAGCTCCCTGAGCTGTCTAATGTAGACACATTACCCAGAGGGTACAGAAAGAAAACCCCTCCCTGTCTGTTCCACTTCCATTAATCTTAAAGTGGTGCAACAAAGGAAGGTAAAGTATCTTCTGCCCAGTATAATTTTCTCTATTTAATGTCACCAGGTCTTTTAATCTATGGCCCTAAAGCTCTTGTATAGGGGTGCCTGGGGCAATGTGAGACCATGGTAATTACCAGCTCCTACTCATGTCTAGCTTTTGCCTCCCTCTGAGAGTATTGTGAAGAAACTACTCAAAGGATCTAACACAACACAATATCAGGACAATACCACTGGGGAAAAAAACAAACTTTGATAGCTGCGAGCTCTGTTTTTAGAGCACTGTGGCTGATATCATTTCGGATTGGCGACAGTCTCTCATTTGAGTCCTGACTCAGCAGGGACCTGCAAAGCCCAAGGTGCGGTGCTTTCCTGACAAAGAGCTCTTTCTGTGAAACATTTTGAAAATATCATGAGTGACTCATCCGGCACTGAGATTTCAGCCACAAAGAGGAAATTTCTTTCCCTCCTCACTCAGTTTTTTCAGTAGTATTAGATTTTTTGCTTTTGTACATCACAGAAATCTTCACAACTCTATAGAAAACTTCTAAAAATTAGTTTTCTGCAATGAATGCTCTGGTTTGAATATGACAGAGTAGAACACCATGCATTATGACAAGTACACATCAGTGTTCAACGGAGGGAAAAAAAGCATGGAAGATTCAGCAAGACCAAACAAAGTTATGAATGTGTGATAGCAGTCTTCCAGTGATCACTACGTAGAGAACAATTGTACTCCCATAATGTTGAGCAAGGTTTCTAATTATTTTAAGCTTTACACGTTTATCTAGAAATTTAAATAGTATGCTAATAATAATACTTTCAATGGCATTTGAACTTGCTAAAATTGGAAGATAGGGACTAGCTACTGGTACTGGAATAACTAGAAAGAATAGGAAAATACACAAACACACACTTTTCTATGGCACACTTTTACTTACTATGTGCTAAAAGGACATATTATGACAGTAAATTTAATCCTAGGCTGCTGTATGTCAGTAAAGGGTCTGGTCCTGACACTTTAGTTGCTTCCCAGCATCAGCAACCTCCACAATTTCACTTCATCCCAGTAGGAGAAGTGTAAGGAAGGGCACGGAGTGGGGCGGGATTGCCACCCACACTGTGATGGCTGGAATTATAGCAAGCATACACCCATTATTTACTGATAAATACTGATCGATAATAGTGAACATTCATTACGTTGATGTGGAAACGTCAGTAAAAGAAGAAAAATCAGTAGGGTGTGCTTAAAACACTTTCAGGTTTTATTCACAAGCCCGTGTCTGTTTTCACTATATTTAAGGACAGACAGCTTTACTGCCTTCTCAAGACTGTGAACTAAGCATGGATCATCATCAGCCTGTATTAAAACATCACAGCTTTTTTTTTTTTCATTAATGGCCTTAAGGTATTCTGGATTTGAAGCTGGCTGCTTAATCACCTCCTATATTACCTGAGAACCTCAAGACTGAACTTTTCAGCTGCACTTCAGCCCTGTCAGATGCCAGGGACTTGACTGGAAAGTCAGGAAGATAGGTGTGGATCACAGTGGAACTGAAGAATAGAAAAGCTCGCTGGTGACTGTCACACATTCTCTACAAACAACACCGTATTAGCAAGCACAAAGAAAGTAATTAGGGGGAAAAGGGAGCACCACTGAAGCAGTCCCCACAGTTCATGGAACAGTGTTAATAAAACAATGAAGTAATGCATGGAGAAACAGTAGAAGATACCGTCATGGAGTCAAATGCAGAGGTAATGCTGGCGCTCTTCATTTCAGTGCCAAGTGAATCCTAAGAAGCAGTGAATAACATGAGGCAGAAGCAGCAGTTACCCCTTGTTGAGAAACATTTTGGCATCCATAGCAAGCAGCAGCAGACTGGTGACCAGTGTATTTCCCTATTGTCCTATGTCTTGTCTTGCCTTTAGCAGAGGTTTGGTCTCTTTTTTTTCATTTGTTTGGGCTTGAATTCCCCTCTGCTTTTACATGCAGATGGATAATAGAGATAAAAAAGGTCCTAGAATGACTTAAGTACAACAGATATCTTCTTTAAACCTACTATATGGAATTACTTTATTTCTGCTGCGTATTTTCTATATACAGTGCCTTCTACACTGAGCTTCTGTATAATCGTCATATGAGTGCTACCTCATTATTGGACTGTAGGTACTTATTTTGTTGCAACATTCCCCAGAAAAATACTTTGGAGATGTTACTTAGATGAATGTAAAAACTATCCAAAAGCTTGCCTTATTTAAAATGCTTTCAAATCTTCAAATACGAAAATGGTTTCCCTTTTTCCAGGAGAGGAAATGCAGCAATGGTATTTTATTTATTTTTGTTTTGAACTCTTGTTTCAAATTATCACAGCTCTGGATACATGATATACAAAACTCACCGAGTTACAATGGGACTAGTTCCTGGTATTAATGAGTAGATCTATTCGTTCGGATTTTGCTGTTTAAAAGACAGTATTTAGAGTCTTAGTGTGCACTTGCTCTCTCATGCACTTCTGTGGTTTTTTTATTTTGTTTATAATGCTTGATCGAGGGGTAAATATTAAACTGGATAACCTTTTTATCTTATTGTTGCCTGGTTCCTTATCTTTCTATGGCAGCCTTACAACACTGCAAATTTTCTTACCTGCAAAAAGAAAGATGCATCGAGCCCTCACGTTACAACTACTCCACCTTGTGGGAATTAATCAAAAATGCTGCCCTAGAGCATTAAAGGGCAGATATATACAACTCTGGGACTCAGGGCAGGCTACTAGCTCAGATGGGTCTTGCCTGTCTGGAACCCCAGGCTCCCACTTTCAGGCACACAGATGGCCACATGTACTGTGGAGACTTCAGCAGTGCCTGACAAGTCCTTCTAAACAAAGCTGTGCCACATGCAACTGGCCAGTGAAGCTGTCCATGAATCTATAAAAATGACCATAACAAGATATCTGCAGCAATGAGATTGCAGGACTCCCTGAAAACCACAACTTTTTTTCTTCTTTTTGGGAGGTCTTCAGGCAATTAACTGATTATCTCTGGGTCACACAGAAAAATCTAACACAAACAACCTCAGCGTTCTGTAATGTTGTGTCAGTGAGGAGGTGTGAAATGAGAATGAAGATCAAACCTGAAGCACTGGGAGCATTTCCCAAAATGGTTAAAAGATCTTATGAAGCCAACCTGTGAGAAATTGTCAAAATTACTGAAAAAAAAAAAAGGAAGTTAAATATTCCACTGGTTAACTTCTCAAAACTGTTTTATTAAGGTAGTGTAAATTATGGTAGTGCAAATAGGCTTTTAGCTGGGAAATATGCAGTTTTTCCACATTGTTTGGAAAACTCACGCATACTGAACTATATCCTGCACAAACCTGTGTGGTATGCTGTAACAAAAGGTAAAGGATTTCCCCTCCAAGAATATCTTCCAGAGGATATATCATTAAATTTAATATTTAGATATGTAGACATATCTTCTCTGGATGGTAAAATGTTGCATCAACTTGTGAAAGAAGAAGTTTTAACTTAAATTTCCTTGTAAGACTGCAACAACCGCTGAGTCCAATTTAGCAGTGAATGGGGTTTCAGTTCTTAAGTTTGTAAGTCTCCTGAATAAAGTTACAATAGGGCAGTGGAGGAATTGTGTATCAAACAGACCTCTCTGGTTTACTTGTTTCTTCACCCTGTCACTGACACGGCTGTTACCCTGTCACAGCACAAGAAATACCATGACATGGATTTCCCATAGGAAAAATTCCCTTCCAACCCCAATCAGATATTGCTTGGCTTACATTCCGGCATGCAAGGGTTTAGGGCTAAGCATGCAAGCCAAAGGGAATTCTACTGCTATATTGGTTTTTAAATTACTATTGTGATAGTCCAAGCAAATGACATCAGTCAGTTTTCCATTATTCACAGGTTTTACTGACCTGCCACAAGGTGTTCCCTTTACAATATCATACTGATTTGTTACTATTTTTATGGCAAATTACTTCATTATTCCTGAAGGTTAGCTTTTCAATTTTGCCTGGAAAAAGAAACTTTTCATACTTTACCAGAGTGAAGTAATCTACACTTACAAGTGCTGAAGACAGAGATGGTGTTGGAGGAGGAGGGGAAGCAGGAGGAATCCTTGGCCTTTCTTTCTCCTCATTAGCATCTGGTTCAGGTTGGATCAGGACTGCTGTGGAGATTGGTTTATCTTCATCCTCAGGTGGCCTAACCTCGGGTTCTAGAGAGGGACATCGGCCAATATCTGCATTCTCAAAGGACACGGGCTGAGCAAAGTCCATGGGGCTGAGAACACAAAGAAATTGATGTCTGTTGTTAGTTTTCTTGCTTTTTTTTTACCATTCATTCACAAAGAAGAGCTCTATCGTGCAGTGTAATTCCAGTCTACAGAACACAAGAACCAGGATTCATCTGTTTTAGGTGCAGAAGCAGGATGCTCAAATTAGAGGTGACAGTCACTATTGGCTTTCCTTCATACAGTCAGTGCAGAGAGATGGGCATCCTCCTCAGCAAGCTTCACCAGCCTAGGTAGGCTGAACCACATTGTGAGGTCCTTCCCTCTGAGGTACACTGCCGGGGTGTGGGGTGATGACATCCTAATGTCAGTTATGTGAAAGATTTGGATGGGAACTTTCCATAGAGGTTTTAACTTATTCACTGTTCCCTTTATTTTACTTAAATGCTCCTTCCAGATTACTGCAGCATGCACTTTTTGCATAGCAAATTAATTCCCGTGGTGGTACTCAGAGTTTGTATACTCTTAGAGATCAACTTTACTTGCAGTAAGTGTTAAAGTACACCATAAATACTTATCAATGAGGCAAGTTCTACTGCAGCATTACTGTTGAATTTCATTTATTTTTATGGATACATTGATAGGTGTTGGTTTGTTTGAAAAACAGTTCACTAATTGCATAGCTCGTGAAGTGTTTATTGTAAAAAAAAAGATCATATTAAGAAGAAAGATCATATTCTACGATTTGCTGTTAGTATTATTCTTTACAAGAATACAGTTTCTTTTAGCAGCCAAGTTAGTTAGCTAGACCTCATTAACTGGACATCTGTTGGCATCAGTGAGACTTACGTGGCATTAATGACGAGATTCCATATACAGCCCTCAAAAGATGGTATGTTTCTGAGAGGTGCAGTCTGAAACTCAGAAGTAGTACCCCCCACAAAGAGTCTCCTAACAGAGACGGGCTGGTCTGTTGGCAGCCTCTGAGTCTGGCCTTTGTCTTCATCTACTTGAACAGTGAACAGCCTGGGAAAAAGATTTGAAAGCAAAGAAATGTATATTTTACTCTGGTTATTGCTTGTATTTAAATCACCACTTTGCAGGCTCCATTTACTCCTACACTAGCTATAACACCGAGCCACCGAAATTATGTAATTAGCAGCTCACATTAAATGCATATTAACCACTAGAAGGTTTTCAGATACTGCTATGCTTCTTCCATAGTTCTCTGAAAGGCTAGGCAAAGCCATGCTGTGGAAAGGCGATCATATCAATCACTGGTCGAATAGGAAGAAGCGGTTTTTAGCATGGCAACATGGTGGTAAGGGCCAAAGTTGCTGCGCTGTGATGGGAGATACAATCATCTAGTGCTCAGCAGGATGGGACTCGTGTGGGGTCACGTTTTGTTTGGGCTTCCTATTTCCTGGCTTGTACTAGTTATTATCTTCTTGCTGGGGGACAAACACGGCTACAGACCACTCCGATTGCAGAATCAACTGCAGGTATATACTGTACACTTTTAAAAACATCCAGTTGTTTCTTTCAGGGAGAAATGGCCTGATTGTTAACCATACAAATGCTATAATTCAGTCCTGTGGGCAATGGACATGCTACAATTTAAAGCAAGAAAGATACTGTTCGAGTAGAACAGCAGCCTCTGAAGCACATCACCACTGGCTGACAAGGCCAAGGCAAGGAATGGAAGAAAAGATGAAAGACAAAAGGAGTAAATATGGTGAAGGGTATTCTGGTAAAAGCAATAATCCAAATGTGAGAGAAAATCTGAATATCCTTGCCTGTCAAAGCTACAGAGATGCAAATGTTGAGGGTTTGTATCACATATACAAGGAAATACAGTAAAGGGGACAGAAAGTGAAAAAACAGTTTGCCAAGCTGTATATTGTGTATATGGAGAAAACAGCTGTGGAATTGAGATACAGTAGATTATTTTGATGGGTAACATATATGACAAGGTACAGCAACAAATGTAAAACAATTAACTGCTGTCATTACAGCAATTTATCATTGATGAAACACAGAAAATTTCCCGCTTCTTAATGGATCAAGCTCAAGGTGTGCTGAGTTGCAAAGGATGGATGAGAATTTGTGAATTGGATGTGAATGGATGAGAATTTGTGAAGGTGAATGCAGAATGCCAGTTGGCAAAATTTCTTTATGTTAGACCATATTTAATAGAAATTACGCAGGAGATCAGGACCACCAAAAATGCTATATTTGTCTCTGGTAAACTCCGATACGGTTTATGAAGCGTAGTTTTTATTTAAAATGTGCTACAGTCATGCTAAACATTAGGACCTAAATATTCAAGTCTCTTTGACTACAATTAGTTATTTAAACTCAAGCTGGGTATCTAAGTAAGCAGCTTGATATTTCAGAATTACTGAGCATCCTTATGGCATCAGAAACAATCAGTTTCTGACAAATAATCCCACTTTTTTCTAATCCAAAACTATATTCAACTCCAATTTTCTTCCTTAATAATATTTACAAATGTTAGCAATTGAATATTGTAAATGTTTATATAAAAGAGGCTGGTTTCCAGATGGAAAATGCTTGGATTTATAATTTACACAAGTCCTACATATAGCTGTATAGTGACTTAAGCATCTGAATTAGCTAGTTCTTGTACTACACGCAACTTGTCCTGTTTCCACATAGTTCTTGATGGATTAATTTGGTCTAGAAAACCATAGCATAAGAAAGTGATTCATTTTTCAAAAGATTGGAGGAAGCAGGTATTAGAAGACCCATCTTGTGGGACAGTCTCTAGGATTTCCTCCAGACCCTTCAGCAGTGGGAACAGAAAGAGAGAGATTTCTCTAGTGGCAGTTAGGAGCAATAGACTAATTTAGGTTCTGCGAAATGTCCCAGAGAGGACACTTTTCTGCATTGCCTTCAGAGGAACTCAGACTGTCAAGACTTGACAATGTTTTCATCAGCATGCAGTATTTCATCTCATTTTTAGCCATCACCATAGTAAACATTTTGGCCACAGGCAGAACCATAAAATGATGTGCATTAGTCTTCAACAGTATCCTGTAATTACCTTGGAAGAGAAAGTAAACACTTCATAATTATACAGACAATCATAGAATCATAGAATGATTTAGGTTCGATGAGATCTCAAAGATCATCTAGTTCCAACTCCTCTGCCGTGGCAGGGACACCTGCCGCTAGATCAGGTTGCTCAAGGCTCCATCCAGCCTGGCCTTGGACACTTCCAGGGATGGAGCATCCACAGCCTCCCTGGGCAACCTGTTCCAGTGCCTCATCCATCTCTCAGAAGAGTTTTCAAAGGGTGTTCTTTATATTTAATCAAATAAAGCTTAAATTCATGATGAGCAGACAAGGGGTTGATCTTAATTTACAGCTTTTCCCATCCATTTCAGGTTACAGGAATTGCAGAGGTCAATTTTTTTTGTAACATAGCTACTTTGAAAACACAGATGTTTCATCAGAACAAGCATCATCACTGGATGGCTTTGTACAGCAACTATGTCTTGATGTAGGCTCACAGGCCAAGGTGCTGTACTTGCTATAGTACTGCAGAACAGAATTTTCTTTGCTGTTTAGAGCTTCTTATTATAATCTGCACGCTTGTGTGCTGGCATAGTGACACAAAATCTTTTCCAAAACACAGTCATACATTTCCAAAAAATATTTTTCCTGAAGAACTTACAGTTTAACCTTGAAGTAACCATTGAATCTGGGGAGAGAGATTGTCTGAAGGCAATACAAGTTTTTTTTTATTGATACAATAGAAATTCAGTCAGAAAATTATACTAGAAGAGGACAAAACAAGGCAAATTGTAGAGAAGTCAGAAGGGCACCTAGGGACTTGCTCAAGAAGGCTGCAATGTTGTGGAGGTAAGAGGGTGAAGTCTAGTGTTCAGCATGCTTGAATAAGTGTATTTTATAACATGCTAGATGTCACATATTCTTTCTGATGTTTGTTTTAAACAAAACAGAACAACATTGTGCATAGTGCACAAATCTACTAAATGTACAGTATCATTATCTCCAGTATCAGTATCTCCAAATGTCCACAGCAAACCCTACTTAGAACAAGGGTTATTCCAGGCCATAAATAATACTGACTGCCTGAGTCCTACACACTACAGTAGTGCTATTCTCAATCACTTCCTGAATGGTGAAGAGTAATTAGATTTTTTTACAATGTCTAAGAAAGGGCAAAGGAATTTAAGTGAAACTGTTTAAAACAACATGGTATGAGGTCTGCAATGGCTTTCCAGCAATAAGAATGCTGTTTACCTGGGACGGTGCGTCTTCATTGTTTTACCATCTTAGCTGGGCATCACCACTTCCCCATGTATATACACCAGTACATGGCATCTCAAAAAGGCTACAGGCTACTGTGCTATTGCTGTTCATATACTTTGAAAACCATCTTTTTCTACATGTCCTGAAAAGGTGATTTACTGCACCACAGCAGTATTTCTCATTCACAGACTTGCTTAATAAAACATATATGTGAAGAACCAGAATGTTAAAGATGCCAATACAGACAAACACAGGTCTCTGGAGAAGCAGGCTGATAGCTTAGGAAAGCATGTAAACACAGTTCTCCAGAAAAAGTAAGCACTGTCAGAAACTAACTTCTGACTCAGAAGAAGCATTTATATGGATTGTTAAAGATATCGGTGGATTTGCTTTGTTAAACTGGCTGTACTGTCTAACTTCTACAAATTTTTGGTAAGGATGAAATTACACTAAATCCTTTGCCTCAGAAGAAGCATTTATATGGATTGTTAAAGATATCGGTGGATTTGCTTTGTTAAACTGGCTGTACTGTGTGGCCCGTAACACTTCTTGTTACCCTTTAGCTCGTTCTATCCGGATGGAGTGTGCTCTGCCATCGTGAAACTCGCCAGCTTCTGGTCTGATGGTGATTCTGTGGGGATCCCGTACCCCAGTGGAGATGTGCACTTCTAGTCGACCTCTGTTCAGGAACACTGCGTAGTAGGCCTGCAAGGAAGTTACATTTGCAAAGAAATTATTTCACTTAGTTTCACACTAGCGTGTGCATTTTATTTTCTTAATACTGATTTTCAATTTCCTCACTTAGATAAGATGTTGTAGTTTCAGTTCTGCTGCTATATTCAGATTCTCTTTTATTTTTGTAATGAGGAATGGCTAAAATGAGGTCATGCTGGAAAGCCTCATCAAAAGATTTAACTCTGTGAATACTTATTTGCAGGAAAAGAAGGAGGCTTCTAACCTACAATTCTTCTGATATTTGCTACTACAAGGCCTGGTCTTAAACCCACCAAGCCCTGAACAGCGTTGATCTCAGTGTGAGTTCAATGTTTGGATGGCTGGCAAATCACGCTAGTAGTTACTCTAGCAACCAATATCATGTTGTAGCGGTTTTCAGGATCTAACCTCCAGTTACTATAGCAATGAGTGTTAGGCTCACTTCTGTGACCCGAAGAGCTGGGAAATGATAAAGAAGCCGCTACCCAAAGTTAATGTCATGTAGGTGAGCCATTATAATGTGCTGTCCCTGGAGAGCGTTCTGCCAGGTCACCAAGAGCTCGCTTCTAAAACTGGCAGGAAAGATAATAATAAAATATCGCAGGCCAGAAGTCCTAAACACAGAAAGTGCCAAAATATTCTGTTTATCTCAGTTGCAGTATGTCTGTCTGTGAGGTTTTTAATGAATCAAGATTTGAATAATTTCTAACAGCAATCAAACTTTTATCCATTAGTCACTTGGACTCTGTGGGTACTTACTCTGAGCAGATTGACTCTATCCTTTTCTTCAGAAAGGATTTATACTGCAGATTCAAATTTTATGGGAGAGAAGGGGAGGTTGGAGCACTCTTAAGTTCTATGATTCCCCATGTGTTGCATGGTCTAGTCGAGAGGTGGCGTCCCTGCCCATGACAGGGAGGTTGGATTAAATGATCTCTAAGGTCTCTTCCAGCCTAGGCCATTCTATGATTCTATTTATATCCCAAACAAGGAAATGCTCCTGTGCCTTTAAGATTTCCTCTTTAAAGAGTGCCCAGCCTTTCTAGACTCCTACACCATTAAAAACTGACTCCCAAGGGATTCTATCAACTAACCTCCCAAATAAATCAAAGTCCACCCTTCGGAAGTCTCAAGGGGCAGTTTTGCTGTCCTCTCTCCTAACATCTTGAGGTCCCTTCCAACCCCTAACATTCTATCTCTAAGAATAGAGAACTTAATAATTTTGTGGTCACTGTTCCTTAGTCAGCCTCCAACTACCACATCCTCCACAAGACCTTTTCTGTTCACAAACAGGAGGTCCAGCAGGGCAACTTCCCTGGTTGGTTCACTTTCCAGCTGTGTGAGGAAGTTATCCTCCACACATTCCAGAAACCTCCTGGATTGTTCCCTCTCTGCTGTGTTGTATTTCCAGCAGACACCTGGGAGGTTAAAGTCCTCCACAAGAACAATGGCAAGCGACTGCGAGATTTCTCCTAACTGCTTACGCAAAGCTTCGTCCACCTCACTGCTCTGGTTGGGAGGTCTACAGCAGACTCTCACAGCAATATTAGCTTTATTGGCCCTTAACCTAATCCAAACACTCTGAAACCCATCATCGCTGTACTTGATTTCTGAGCTCTCATAACATTCCCTAACATACAAGGTCACTCTACTGCCTCTCCTTCTCTGTCTATCCCTCCTGAAGAGCTTGTAGCCATTGACTGTGGCACTCCAGCCGTGTGAGGCATCTCACCACATTTCTGTGATAGCCACTATGTCAGAGTTTTCCTCTAGCACCACGGCTTCAAGTTCCCCCTGTTTGTTGCTCATACTACGTGCATTGGTATAGATCCACTTCAGATGAGCTAATGATGCCAAAACCTTTTTGTGAAGGCTGCATTTCCCACCAGAGACTTCTCATGTGTTTCCATGATTTCTAAATGTCTATCTCTTGTCTCAAATGAAATGGCAGAGCGAGAGTCGTTGATAGTCCACCATCCTATAAGCACTGGCATGCTTCCTTTGGGCTTATTCCTAACAGGCCCACTTTTCTCTCCTTCCCCCTTCATATCTAGTTTAAAGCTCTGTCAAAGAACCCTGCTAACTTCTGCCTTACTGTAAATCTTTAACAGAAACAGTTGCTTCAATGCAAAAAAAAATATCTAAGCATCTATCAGATTCTCCATCAGATAAAGGATAACATTAGATAATAGCTTCTTCCCAAGCACTGAGCTTTAACTTCAGTTATAAACATCTGAGAGTGTCTTGAAACAAACCAAGTGGAAGAAGTTCAGTGAAATAGTAGGGTTTATTCACTGCTAGGTTTCTCCTACCTGTCCTGTCTGTCTACGCTTTCTCCTCAGAGAGGCAGCCTTCCGTCCAGGGTATCCACGCTTTCTCCTGGGGGGGACAACTGTGCCACTAGTGCCAAACAAGATGATCCCAGACTCATTCTTGGTGCTGAAGGAGAGGTTGATTTCAGTGCCTACGTCAAAGGAGACAGGCGGCAGTTCCACAAAACCTGGCTTGGGGAAGCTAACAGTATAAATGTTCTGTAGGAAGAAGAGGACAGGAAAATGCTTTATGATTAAAAGCAAGAGTATGAACATGCAGAAAGACTTCTTAACTAAAATAATAAGCTACGTAAATATAACTAGTGTGAAGAGATGCAAAATAATAGTAAACACCAAGCAATTTACCTCTCAAAGTGTTGTGCAAACACTAATTTACCTGTTTACATCTGGCATCATTAGAGTATTTCTGGAGTCCTGTGTTACAGGAAGGGAAAGTTCCAGTCTTATTTTGGTATATCCTCTTGGATTAAAAATAACTGTTCACAGGTGTTATATGAATGTTTCTCACTGAGTTAATACAGTGGAATTTTGCTTTTAAAATAATACAGTCCCTATGAACATAAGCTAGATTTTATTTTTTGTCAAATGTGCAGAGAAAATACTTTTCAGTCAGTCATTATTGTTTCATCATTGCCTCACTAAGTACCACTGCTTTAGTGGTGACTTGGGTTCATAAATTTAGCACTCACTCCACATGCCCCAACTCTTTGGACCACTGTCAGCCATTAGCACACTTTAAAGAGCAGAACATGTCATTAGACAATAAATCAGTGCAGACTCCTGAAGATTTTCTGTAATCACAGTCAATTTGTGTATTCTTCCAGCTGTGGAACCAGATTCTGTAGAATCCGTGACTAAAGTAGCTCACTAGTTCCTCAGTACAGCAGAACTGTTTTCAGATCTAGAGATAGTAAGACTATATCAGATAAAATTATTGCTGATGATGTTCACCTTTCTCTGAAAACTGAGGGCTTTTCAATAATTGAGTGTATATCCAATCTATATGTTTTGCTTTTCCTTCAATTTTTTTTTGATTATACTACATATCTTGTCTTTTACAATTAATTTCATTTAATTCCCCAACAAAATAGTTGGGGAATTCATTAGATTTCATACTCTGAAACTTCAAGTGTTACAAAATAATGTGAAAAACAAAGCACTTTCTAAGATTCATAGCAACAGAAAAAATGAACACAAATATCATTTTTCCTATTCAGGAAAGTATCTACAATAAACAAAAACAAATATGAATTTCTGTAGAAAATGTTTGCTGAAACCAAATTTGTAAGACTTAAAAGCATTTGAGCAAAGTGGTTGTTTATATTTTAGCTTTATCACAAACTTGAAAACTTAAAAATGGCCATCTTATGACAGCTCCATCTAGTCTAATATTCCGTCTGAGAGTCTTATTGTTTTGGTTTTTTTTGCTCTGGTAAAGGCCAGAGGTACAAATGATAAACACAGTAAAAGAGTGTCTTCATCTTTATTTTGGCCTGGCTGAGTTCCAGTCACTGATCAAAGCAAATTTTTACTGTTTTGTAGAAAATTGTTTGGAGAGAATTAGGTCAACAGATCATTTGGATTTCCTATAGTGGTATCTGATATGGAACTCTAGACCACACATCTGCTTGCAAAGCTATCGCAAATAGTATTAATTTCCAGGGAAGAAATACAAACTTTTTATTGGGAGACAAATGTCACCAGAAATAGTTTTTTATATATTAAGACATTTATTTTCTCTGGAAAATTACTACATTCTCTCCCAAACTTAGCATGAGATTTCTTGAGTTTTATATGCATTGAAAGCCTGTTAATTAGAAGCAGCAACAAATAACAAATAGACTTGAGTTGTGTTTACGTAATGACACAAATTTTGCACATTCTTAGTAACCAATAAGAAATGTGCCTTACAGTTCCTATACTAAAGGTGACTTTATTTCAGTTACCACCAAATATACTGCAGGTTTCAAAGTTCCTCAGGTTTTCTGTAGTGAATGACTTTATAATAACATTTTTTTTTTAAACAGTTTAACTCTTTGGATTTTATGTATATCAATACTTTTAAAGTTTTTTTTCAGTATTGTCAGTGCTTGATTCTATCCTCATTAATGTCAATAATTCCTATTTTAGTCATCTGAAATAGAGCTAAACCTTTGTTAAGCATTTCAGAAAATCCTACCCTTTAGGGATAGAGATATTAAAATCAGCCAGGGATACTATCCAAAAAGTTAGAATATGGAAAACTGGTCTACTTCTTGATCAGACTCATTCACCTTTCTTACTCTTAAATATGACCGTTCTGATTTTCAGGTGAGATCCCTATGTGTGTGTCTGAACATGCCTTATACAATTAATAAGTTATGCCATAAAATCAGAAACCAGAAAACATTTATACATATTAAGACCAAAGTATACAGAACTGAGACTAACCTCTAGCGTGCATCCTTTGGTTAGGCCAACAAAATCGGGACTACTCAATATATTATATGGTGTCCTTGAAATTTCAATCTCTTTCAGGCAACCTGTATATTTCTCTAAGTTCACTTCAGGCCTAAAAAAAAATATAAGTACAACATGTTTTCAAAAATAGAGTTTAGGGAGAACATAGTCAGCCAGACACATACACACATGCACTTTCAGATGCACAGATGCTTGATTTCTATTTTTTAAAAAATACACACACTCACATGGATACAACTTGTCTTCTACTACCTATATTGCACTCTCCTTTGCATCACTCAAAGGTGTAACAGGAGATTCATCTAATCTCCAATTGACAACACTCCTCTTTTACCCTTTTTCTTTTTTTTCTTTAGTAGTTTATTTGTTTGGGGGTTGGTGGTTTGTGGTTCTTTTTTGTTTAAATGCAGCGAGCATTGAGCATGAAATGATTGCATAGCTGTTCCTTAGGCAAAGCAGAAAGATGTAAGCTAGGAAATCATAACAATAATGAAAGACCTTAGCTGGAAGACATATGCTTCATTCATCTTTTTGCATGCTAGATCCTAATGAAAGAAGAACTGTAGACACATACATTTTGGATAAAGCCTTTCTCAAAGATCAAAAGAAAATGTAATTTAGGGTTTTATTTATACTTCAGGAATTCTTTATGTTCAGGTGGACTGACATTTGTTTTCTGTGTATTTTATAGTCCCAGTATCTTTCCAATGAAAACAGCTGTATATTTTCTTATGAGACACCAATACATTTGACTTTCTCAAGAGAACAAAACACTTGGGTTTGTTACAGAACCCAACTGTTCATCCAAGACAGGAAAATATTGTAATAGAATTGCAAAGTTCCATGGTATGGCTCATCAGGTGGTTGACAAGAGAAATGAGAAAACCTCTGAAAGTAACACCAAAACTGGCATGCTTGAATGCAAAAGTATGATTTCCCAGGCTTGGGAACACCAGAGTGAGACCATAACTGCTGGCTAGGCTTGCAAGAAGAAAAGACTTAAAAAGTCACTTCAGAAAAAAAGTTGCCATTCGTACTATGGAGAGTAAATCCAGAAAAAAAAAAGCACTAGTTAATTCAATCGCAATATTACCCCTGAGTGTTTATTAGAATATCTTACAATATGAACAGCTCAAAGAAAGAAAAAAAAAAAGAAAAAGAAATGAGTTAAGATTGTGGGGAGAAAAAAAAACCAAACAAACACTTCAGCTTCCTGGAAGCAAAGAAAATATTTTAAGAGTATTAATTACAAAATAAAACTATTTTTCACAGATACTATTCAGTTGCATGTTTTGGTACTGAAAGCCATTCTTTGCATTGTAGCCATCCTAGCAAGCGTGGTGTATTCTCTGGCAAATTAGCATTCTCTACATGAGTTAAAGCAAGCATCTGGTTTATTAAAATAACCCATATTCTGCTTTATTTACAGTCATGTAGTTATGGTGACCTTTCATTTTTGATTTTATTTCTTATCTCTTCTCCAGTTCCTTTATAGATTCACATTCCCAGCAGCAGAACAGTTTTGCTATGTCACTGATTGCAGTGCCCAAAGTCTCCCTTCTTTGCCTTCCAGAAATGATTCATGTTCCTAATCCCTTCCTGTCCAGTTACAGACTGTCCACATGCTGTCCCTACAAGCAGCTGCAGTTATCTTATAATTCCCAATCTGTAAGAACCTTACATTCTTGCAAACACTGAACACTTGCTCGATGTTTTCTAAAGACTTGCTTTTTCCCTTATTTCCTTCCAAAACATACAAAACAAGGTCCAAGTTCACTCAGATATTGCATAAATTCTTGGCCTTTATTTTTTTGCCAAAGTAGGATCAGTTTTAATGGAACACAAGCAATTGGAGCTTGGGAGGAAATAATCTTTCTCAGGATCAGGGGTGGTGGAGGGATGTTGTATTTTTCTATTTCAAACCAGTAATTAAGCTGCAAAACATTGTGAAGCTCAGTTCATATCTGAGCACATGAAAGCAGAAGTCATGGACACAAACAGCTGCAAACTGAAAACAGAAATAGGTCACTTCCCCTATACCCTCCTCTCATGTTCCTGTCCTTCAACTCAGAAGGGGCAAATTTCACAAGAATCTGCACCTCACTTTGAAACTCTCCTCAGTAAGTAACTACTTTGCTGCCTCGGCGTGCGGCGCTCCTTGCCTGACCCGGGACTATGTCGCTCTCACAGCCTGGAGGTCAGAACCAAACCCCGCAGGCAAGCAGCTTTGCTGTGGCTTTGCTTCCGAGGCGTTCCAGTGCAATGAACAAACACAGCTGAAGTAAGCAGCTGCATGAAGAAAATAAAAGTTGCTTGTGTAGGTGTGCACACAGCATGTAAGATGACAGCGTTAGGCACTTGGGAGCAGCTTTGCTTGTTGCAGCAGGAGCAACTCGCTGAATTAACAGCCTTAGCGTAACAGCTGGTATAAATACTGCCCACGCGCTGCTTCTGCAGTGCCGCCTGTGCTTTCAAGCTGCACTTACTAGACACATGCAAGTCATGCAAGTAATCTGATTATTTTTACCTTGCTTTCATACTATGAGGAGAGAGAAAGGAAAAAAAAAATCAAAATTACATTAATTGTAGCAAATGATACTTATTAGCAAGGTTCAAATACTTCACACTGAAGCGGATACACATCATTTACGAATAACGCATAATAGATGGTGAGATTCTATATAAGCTATCAGGCTATAACAGTTAACAGAGTTACTCTGCAAACAACGACCTTAAAACGTAATGTATCAGAGAGCTTTCAAAATTTGTTGCTATACTTAGTCGTGAGTAAAAGCAAACCATGTAAAAGAATCTGGCAGGACTGACACGACCTGATAATTACAAAGTCACGGGTACCTCAGCATCTATTGTTTGCAGTAGCTCAGCTTTGCCCTAATCCCCCTTTCACTATTTTTGATTCTAATTTACCACAACGTTCATCTTGCCCCAGTGACTGATGAAACTTAGCTGTAGGCAAAATGGTTACCACAGGCTCAAGTAGCTGTGGTATACTGATTTTCTAAGGATTTGCCGGAAGATAATGGCTCTAGACGTTTTGTTATGCACGAGTGTGATTTTGCAATTACATAATATAGTGTTATATTTCATGAGTAAAAGAGATCCTAGATCTTTTTATTACTGGGTAATTTGACATCATAGGTCAATTATAAATGTAATAAATGAACAAATATGTCCATTCTTTTAGTTGCAGAACAGTCTGTGGACTAATCACAACAGTTCCTTTTGCACAAGACTACTTCAAGGCTGTCACTTTACCACATAGCTAAAGCTGACATAGATTAATGGGCTTGTTTCTGAGTTGCTCATCTGTTCATTGTAGCACAGAATTCTCTTGTTCTTGTCACTGCAAAACTGCTGAATATTCATTTAAGCCTTAATCAAGTTTTGTGGTCTATTTAAAACCATGTAATACAGTCACTAAATGCAAGTATCTGCTACCCATTTCTTTAGTTTATTAAAGCTTAAGTTAAAGTTCATCTATAATATTGTGCATTATTTTAAAAATAAATACTGGGAATTTGTGTGAGAAATTCCAGATCAGGCCTCTGAAGGGAAGAGGTTGCCGTATTTCATTCTACTGATATCAAATATAACAAGTATTGTATCATATACTTTAAGACCTGAGTACTGGAGAAATTTCATCTAAGGAGCTCAGAAACTTGTATCCTCTGAGCTCCGTGAAATACATTGAAATACACAAAATATGCAAATATGGTGTTCATCTGCTGTGGCAATATAGGAAACATACATTGATGTGAATGGTGAGCTCACCATTCACTTACTGCAAGTGAACTTGAGAAATAAATACAGAGAATAAGATTACACTGCATTTACATCCCCTCACCAAAGGTAAAGAAATTGATTTGAGCCACATTACCTTAGATTTCTCAGGGTTGGCAATCCTCCAAAATATATTTTCTCATGCCCTTTTAAGTTGAGCCCAAAGTGGCTGCCTGTTGAAGTTGTTGCTATGGTCTCTTCTTCATTGGTGTCTATGTCTATAATTGATATGTTGGCTGGAAGACATTTGAGATTAGTTTCAAAATACCAGACATGAACAATGATGTCTTATTGTAAGAAATCAACACAAATAATTTGAGTGTTAGTAAGTGAGGGGAGAGGCAAGCAGGGTTGTATTTTGAGTTGTATACTGCCTGTCCATAAGACACTGGACTTCCAAATTGTCAATTATGGGCAAGAAAAGAGACCTGCACTTTCTTCTGTTTCCATAACAACCTGAAAAGCTATAGCAATTCTGTATGCTTTATTTTTATATATTCTTTAAACCTGCTTCAATTTGGTATGTTCTTTGTGTCAGTGTAATTTGGAGCTAACACTTCAGGACAAAGTCAAGATAGAAGAGATCATTTTACATTTAATTTGTGATTTCATTTCAAAGGTTGTCATTTGAGCGGGAGGTTTTAGTGTAAAAGTTTTTGAAGCATTGTCGTTATGTGCCTTAGAGATTGGTAATCAGTCACTCTAAACCTTTTTCAAACCCAAAGCACTCGGTTGCTGTCATGTTTGATCCCAATCTGGAGTCAATGATACACTACATACAACCATCCTATTTAAATGCTTGTTCCATGTATACTTTCAATGTACACATTAACACAGAATAAAAGTTCAGTGAGATAGAGAAGACACAGTGTGTCCTGGTTTAAGCTAAACAGAACCAGTTCTCTTCAGTAATTTTTACTTCCCAGCTCAATCTCTTAGAGGCTGCACTTTCTGAAATTAGCAGCATGTTTCTACAGACAGTGCCTACTACTGGCAGTGATAACACCTGATGTTCACAGTTACTGCCTGGGACTGGGATGCAGAAAGGCTCTTGCTGATTCTTGTTCCTATAGTGACCAAGGCCACTGCTGGCTCTTGTGTGCCATGCTGGGGGTGCCGGGTAGTAAGAGGGGTCACAAGGAAGTAAAAGGTTGCACCTCCTGTGAGTTACAGACAGGAAAAGTGACCAACGAGAGTATTCCATTTTATATATGTCATATTTGGTATAAAACTGAGGGATCACAAGGGTTTAGGTCTCTTTGGTTTTTTCTCTTCTGCAATGGCTGGCATCCAGGGAGGACTCCATTCGATCTTTTGCCTCTGATCCCAATCCTGAGTTCCCGAACTCAGCTCCTGTATCCAGCTCCCCTCTGCCACTGAGCCTGGGACTTCCCTAGTGCTGCCTGCTCTGCAGCATCAGTAATGATTGCTATCGGGGCGAGGGGGCAGTGGAGGAAGTCGGGTTCAATACTGGATTTGTATATATGTATCTAGTTTGCTACTTTCATTATTTCACACACAGAATCACACACA